TGCTGCTCTAAATGGTCTATTTTTATTCCAGTTCTGCAGTGTTAAAGCTTAACTGAAAAGACTGTGGGGATTACAATTGACGAAAGAATGCTGGGGAGCAAAGAGGGTGAATACAGCAAGAAAGTATCATATTTTTATCTCCAACCCAGCAATAATAAAACAAAAAAATCAGCAATATAAGCAGGTCTTAAGGGCTTAGGGTGGGTCCTTCCCCTCTTTTTTAAAGCCTCTACACCACAAAACATTTGCAATTATGAGGATTTCATTAAAAAAAAAAAAAAATTAAAAGGCATTTACCGCACTCAAATGAAATGCCATAAATATCTGCACCAATCTCTCCCTACACAGCTCAGCAACCTCCGCGCCAGCCGGCTGCATCACATGTTCCTGGAGGTGATGTCATCCTTCCCTGGCCGGCTGGCTGCAGCTCCCCCCGCCGCGGTGCCGCTGCCGCAGCTCCCGCCGCCGCGGTGCCGCTGCAGTGCTCGCAGCCCCGTCACCCACCGCGCAGCCCACCATGGCAGCGATGGAGCGAGCAGAGGTGTCGGCGACAGACACAATCCCGGCATTGCGAGCTCAGTGGAAGAGCACGACCCAAGCCTGCACGGCACAGCTTGACAAGCACGAAATACAAATGAGCTTTCATTCCCACGGCACACGATTCTCTTCTGAAAGCACGATGCATATGCATGTATGGCACAGATTTATGCTGTTCCTTTCACTATCCAGTTCACCTAATAAGACATTTTTATTTTTAAAATGTGGTTTTTAATAACAAATCCTACGCTAGTATCTTTTAAAGACAATTTTCAAACAGGAAAACCACCCTTGATACCACCCCTTTCAATACCTATTAAAGGAATACTCATTTTACAGTTTTGCATTTTAATAGGTATATACGCCCTTCTGTTGTCCCATATATCATATACCTACTTTTCCCTAACCACAGTCAAGAGGGAAGAAACTCAAATGATGCTAATATTCAACTTCAGTAGATTAAGTAAGACACAACTAAGCAGTCCATTTCAATTTAAGAAGGGTTTTTCCCCTTCCATGAACCTTTCATAATTACACAACACCCTGAGTTATTTACAGCCTTCTACTAGAACAGAGTCTGTTATCTTAGAGCAGTTATTGAAATGTTGTATCACACAACTAAAGATCTTTAAAACATGCAAACAAGAAAGAAACAAAAGAAACACCTGAACTTTTATACAGCAGTATACACTGGAAAATGAAGAAGTCTTTTCCACAAACACACCATCTCTTCTTTTCCCTCACAGCTTCAGAGCCAGAAGACACCATCAGCCAGCCAAATTTAACAAACTAAATTGTCTGTACTAATCCTTTTTCTCATGCTGTATGAAGCTAAGATATTTTGCTGCAATATATTAATTTATCCAAGTTAAAAGACTTCATGAAAAGACAGCATTCCTGGGTAGAGGTATTAGCCGTAGGAGGTTTTCAAGAGCACTTTACCCAAATGGCCAGGGCAGGTCCCTCTCACTTGGGAGACCTCTCACTTGGGCTGCAAGCATTTCCAAAGCCCATGGCGAAGACCTGGCTGCAAAGCTCCAGGTCTGCCTGCCCCAGAGATCAGAGAGTAACCCAGTGTAAAGGAGCCACCCTTTCGCCTGGAAATCACACCATTCCTGTAACTCTGCCTCTCCTCTGGGTACCCAACTTGCCGAAACTTCCCATGGGCACTGAAATACTGTGAACAAGTCAGTTTAGAGCAGTAACAGAAACTGGGTACCCTGCCTAGTAGTGTATGCACCCAAGCCAAATGCTGTACTAGGCTAAGGCTGAGGCATCCTTCAGACACAGGAAACAAGGTAATCAAGTTAATCACCTTGCAACAAGGTGCAAGTTAATCATCTTGGCACCACAATGATCAGTAACTAGTCAGCCACATAATTAAAGGGAGCAGATAAAACTGCCTTAAACACATCTTCTAAGCTAACAGTTTGATTACAGACCTGCGATACAAAACAATGTTGGAAACAGCTTCCCCAACGATGCCTTGCTGCCCCAGGAACAAGCCTTTGTTACTTTGAATGATTCTTCA